TGCCGCCGCCCGGCTCCCGGCCCGCCGGCCTCTCCGGCCCGGAGCGGCGGAGCAGCTCTTTCGCCTCCCCACGGGGAGGGCCAAAGGGGAATGTTCCCGTGAGCGCGGACTGTGCGCGGCAGCTGCTGAACCGCCTTATTGCACCTGCCTCAGTCCTTGCCCCTTACCTCGTGCGAGCATTTCAGAGCAAGTGCCAAGTTGCTCCCTGGAGACGCTCTAGGGAGTTTTAGCAAGTCAGCACACGACAACAGCACTATCAGCAGACTACGAAGCTCCCCAAGCAGTGTATTTATGTAATGTCATTAGTGCAAGTCATACAGCTGCTTCTTAAGTGTAAGGTATAAACAACTTGCTAGCCAGACAAGGAAAGACGGAAAAGCTTACCTGTATACTTCTCAAACTGTCCTGCCACATGATTTTCTTCACTTACCTCCAGAGCGTCTTACCATCGGCCTCCCAAGGCTGAAGTTACACAGCAGAGCATCTGCGTATCACCGTCCTCCCAGTGCTGTGCAGGTCCATCATGTTAGCTCAGGCAGTCTTAACTATTGTCTGCTAATAATTATCATCATCACTGTGCAGTTTACCAGAATTTGATTAACGCTTTAATACAGCTACTGTTCATGCCTGAACAGGATCAAGCACATTAAAAACAAAACAACAAAAGCCTCCCGCCTTCCCCATGATCACCCATGGTTCCAAACTTTAACACACTTTAGCCTGTTGTCATCACACCTCTCTCTTGCTACACTAATTCCCGCTCTTATTTCAGAGTTAAGTCCAGACACACTTTCCAAATTCTCACCGCTGGTGTTATTACTGCACCAAAGACTTTCAATTCCATTACGTGTTTCCTTTAAACATTTCCTGCCTTCTTCCTGGTCTACCTGAGCATTTTGCTACGCAGCACTGTGGATCTGCTCCTGGGCACACGTGATGTACACAGCACTTGCCCACACAGCGCTCCCTGGGCTTAGGCCCCACGCACAGGACAAACTCCAAGGAAAAGATTCCCAGTGGTCTGTCCCGCTCCAGAACCAGGCCCAAGATGACTGACCGTTCACTGCCACACAACCCGGCAGCTTCTGATGCCATTTCTGAATTCTCTGGTATCTGGAGGGCTCTCCTATTTAAAAACAAGGAGCTGACAGACAACCCATCTTATCAACATGGTTAAAAGTGCTCCCTGGCACTTTGTATTAATTCACATCATTAAACCAAGGTAGCCACAGGAAAGGCCACCTAGTTCTTAACACCTCCAGACTATACACACAAACAGATTATTTAAAAATAAATCAAATTTTCATTGGGTTTTCCCAGCATCTGTAGCTACAGCTTCGTAGTTCTGTAACTACTTTGCCTCAAGAGAATTTCCATGAAGGAAGGACACATTGCAATACTGAGGGGATTGTACTTTGCAGAGAGAAGTGCAATTATGTGTCAGAAAACACATGAAAAGTTATCTAATAAAGTGTTACTGTGACTTGAAAACGCAAGGAAGAACCTTAAGCAGGCACGTGTATTGCTTTAACAGACAATGAGATTACAACAATCCTTGTCCCAGAGGTGCATGGAGTATGAAAGGGAGCTTTTTAATCAGCAAGGGAATCACAACCAGCTCCAAGGGCAGGGCTGCAGACACCAAGGAAAAAAATTCCTTGTGTTCAGATCTCATCATGCCTTTCTAGCACCTGGACAAGCATTGCCGCTGGTAGTTCAGGGTGGTATTTCACATGAACTGTTTAAGCCTTTTGTAATTGTCTGCTCTCTTCTGTTTTGGCTCTCCAAAATTTCCTGGAAGGTTTTTCAAAATTCTGCCCTTATTGATTATTTCACATCATCTGACCTTGTCATGGCTAAACATTAAGAATCAGTAAGTCCTATCCCACTGTACTTGCAAAAAGCAACAAGGCACAGTTTTAAATCATTGAATATTGACTCATTTTATTAGTCACTTCATAATTTGTTTCAACCAAAAGACAATACACACAGCAGAAGTCTAATGCATCCCATGTAAATGTTTACATCCGTTATGCTCCTCACTCACCTAAGACTCAGCATTTATTTAAATTTTTCACATCTCAAAAATAGGTCTGCAGAAGTTTGAATGCCACCAGGCTCCCTGCTCAAATGGCATGGTTTTACTTTAAATTTGGTTGGGTTTGTTGGGGTTTTGTTTTGGGTTTGGGATTTTTTTTTTTTTTTACTATACTGTCAAAGAGGTGGGATGGGGATCTATGTAAAATGTAAATTACAACATCAGGAAAGAAAAAGGAATATACAGGAATAGAGTGAAAGTTCAGAGGGAAGCAGTCCAGTAGCTCCTTCCCTCACAGCCCCCAAGTAGAAAATGAACACATAGAAAGCGCACCAGCAGATCTAAAAAAAGCCATCTTTGCTGCTCCATCTTGCAGCTAGTACCAGCCTTGGGGAAGGCACTAAGTCACCTTTCCCAGCTGTTTCAGCATCTTCTGAGTTATATATCCAAGGTACTGTATAGGTGGCAGTCCCCTCACTGCTATTGCTTCAAAAGGTTGTTCAAGGCCATATTTTGTCCCATCAAAACCTGGACAAAGTCGAAGCTTAGGACCTTCCCATGTCTTCTCCCCCTTCAGGCCCATTATGGCCACTATTCTTTCTGTCATTTTCTGACTCAAAATACATTCACTTGGAAAAAAAAAGACATTCGATCTCTCTCAGCTCCAAAGTCTCCAATGCAGATATTAGTAAGATAAGCCATGAAGTCTGTATCTTGCTCCTTTTATATTCCCCTTACACTAAAGCAGGAAAATGTTGACCAGACCTGTAAGAATTGTTGCATTCAACTGGTGGAAAAAAGACTCATCCTATCCTCAGAGTGCCTCAGATGTTGACATGCGGGTACTCTCCAGTGAGAAAACAAAGCAGCAGCACAGAGCTTAAGAGATGTACTTAGGGGTCAAAGAGCAAGCAATGCTATCTAGTATTGCAGATATGGGAACATGTGAAACCTGGCCTCCCTTCTGGCATAATGCGAGTACCCCATCCCTTAGCAAGGGGAAGGGAAAGAGCTCCAAGGACAACAGCTCAACTTCAGCTGCTACAAAGGAGTACTTCATAGCCAAGGGATGACTTCAAGCAAAATGCATTTCAGGTACATGCACCACCTCCTCAGCTCAACTCGGAAACACATGACAAAGCGCCTGTTTTCCAAACCACAAACACTCTGTGCAAGGGTGGCTGAAGGAGCCAAGAACATAGTAGGAATTTACCCTACATGCTTACCAGACAGAGACCAACAAGAAAACCCAGCTGCTCTAGGGGACAGAAAACAAGTGCAACAAGAGGGACAAAATAAGCTGTTCCCAACTACGCTGCAACAAACAGGCCAGGTGAGAGACCATTTACTTCTTTCTCCCTATCTAATCTCCTGCACCAGTGCTCTTTCTCAGCAAAAACAAATGGAGATTGAGGTGTGCCAGCTTTCAGTACAAGTGACCATGTACAATTCTGTGAGGAGAATGGGAGAGCTTATGGGGCATTCAGGAACTAAGGCAAAGACTTTCCATTAGCTTTGTATCTGGGACGCCCTCAGAGCTTACCGGAGTCTAGATTTAACATGCTCAGCCTTCGCTTACCAGAGTCTAGATTTAACATGCTCAGCCTTCAACACTAAGGAGCTTGAGCTAGTGGGGTGGTGAATAGTCACAACTGCAGTGAAAGCAACAAAGGTAAATACCCAGCACCTACAAATGGACTTCGATTCAGCCACTTTCTGCAAGACTGCCTGCTTCACGATGCTTCTAGCTGAAGCACAGTATCTATCTCACCACTGATAGCCAAGGCATGACCCTGCCAGAACCCAGAATTTCTTTTTAGGAAATCATACATCATTCTTCTAGATTTTATAACTCCATGCTGATGCCAGTTCCAGTAGAATAATAAAGCTCTTTGCTAATCCAAAGGCCCAAACCTGTTTAATCAATAAGGCAGCAAAAATGCCCTCCAAAAGAAGCTAATTTATTCCACTACACAGACCAGCACTTAAGTCAGTGACAGTCAGTCCTACGTTATATTACTTAATACAGTTAAAACCAAAGCAGACTGAACAACCTTTAGTGGCCTTCTGCTCCCAACTCAAGGGCAGAATAGGTCTTCAGTTTTCCCCAAGTACACTGCACCACTCTTGCAGTGTTTTTGGCAAGAACTGAACCTAGTGTTAGTACTTTTGCAGATGCAAAAAAGCTGTGTCTCAGCTTGCCATCAGAGCACTGAATGATCGCTATCCGGAAAGCCCTATAACAGAAATAAAGCAGATGTGCCATCCCTTTCTTTTGAGAAAGCACTGGGTTGGAAGCTGGAGTACCTTCACCTTACCAGCACATTCATGGATGAAGATCTAAGAGATATCCTCCCCTCTCCCTCCCTGAAGAGTGCTGAACATCTGAATAGTTTTGTCACACTGTGCTTTATGTCCTATACATCGCCTCCATGAGAATTCACGGAACTCTACTACCTCGACAACAGTTCACACTAGGAAGCATAACTGAACACAGCTTTCTGTAAGCTTTGAAGAGTACTGGACCTCACATCTTTGGATCCAAATACTCAAATGACTGGCTTCCATTAAAAAAAAAAACAGTTTAGTTACTTTCAGACAACCTGAACTACCACATTTCTCTGAAAGGGGAGCAAAGAGCAAACTACAAGGATCAATTAAGTAACAAAATGGGAAAAGGTCTCTTTAAACCGCATGGTCTTTATTTCAGTGCCAATATTACAGATACAACACAAATATCCCAGTCAGAAGTAACTCAAACGGAATCCAGGGGGTCTACAACAGGCTCTGGAAATTAAACTGGGGAGAAGGTCTGGAATAACTGGGAAGAGCAACTTTGCAGCATAGTCTCTGATGAGTCTCCCAGCAGGAACAGAGCCCTCAAAGACTGATCTACAAAATTGAATATGTCTTTTCTACCCATAAACCGCAACTAATGGGTTAAAAGGCTTTGAAACTGTCTGTGGTAGAAAACCAGCTGCTCCTTGGATCTCTACATCTGTCATACATCACCACACTTTCTGGGGAAGGTACAGAAGACTGCCTGTGAATCTGCATGGCTGTAGCTATTGACGGAAAGAAAGAAAAATCAAGTGTAAGGTCTTCATTTCCAAGTACAGCACCAAAGCAATTTTATCAACTCTCACCCAGCACCTCTCTTCCTGCACTGTCCCAGGTTTGCAGATGAACTCCCAAGGCCTAACTTGCTCTTGGTATGTACCACATAACTAAGAGGTGGGTGTATACAATAATGCATTGAATAGGCCATAAGAAGCCTCCAGCCCCTTCAGACATAGGGGATACAAGAAGAAAGAGGCAGGGCAGCCTGACATTCCCCAAGTCCCCAGTCTGAGCCCCATATGAAAGTACCTGAAGGAATCCAGCTTGTAATGAATGACAACACGCCTTGCCCACACCAGGGGAAAAAGACAGCAGAAAGAAGGGGCAGCTGTTCACTTGCTGCAGAGAGAAGAAAGTTTCCCTGCTAGAAATTCCAGACTTCTCTTCCAACCAGGCTGTGTTTCTTTGCGGGGGGGCGGAGGGGGAGGGGAGGGGAGAAGGGAATGTTGCTTCCGGCTGTGAACACATGTGTGAGGGAGTGCACAAGCTGCCAGCCTCATCAGCGGAGGAGAGGAGATTAGTCTTAACAGATATGCTTCAAAGTCAGCAATCACTTCAGGAAAATGCCTCCTCATCAGCAGGTCTCATCTGTTCCCCATGCCCATGGTGCAGTTTGGGGGATTGCCAAGGATCACAACCTTCTTCCCAGAGTTCTTTTGATTGGGTGGGGTGAGAATAAGAATGGTGCCAGAGCCTCACTGCCAAGACTGAGGGGGGAAGTTGTTGACTTCTGCTAGATCCTGCATTGCTGAGCCCTTGTGATTATATGTCAACTTGATCCGCATACGTAGTTGTTGCTACAAGAGAAAAGGTGGGGGGGGAACAAACACAAAACAAATTCAGGTCTTCAGTAAAGGTCAGCGAATCCCCCCACGTCCAGCTCCCCTCCCTTACCCCATGAATACAAAACACAGACCTTTCCTCACCACAAGAGCTTGCTGGAAGGATGTGCAGGGTAAGCTATGACACTGCAGATAAATGCTTAATCTGGTAGGACACTGATTGGTCACTGTAGTTCTCAGACCAGGTACAAGCTCTCAGAAAAGCTATAGCACAGCTTCTACCCACATCTCTCTCTGCACTGGCCCTGCTCTCACAAGCACTGAAGTCCTTAAATACAAAAACAACTGCCTTAAAATCCCAGTTAACAATGGAAGAAAGCAGGAGGCAGATCTGGACTCTGCTGCTCTGCACTTAGGCTCGCAGGGAGAGGTGTCATTTCCCATCTAGCTGTGCACTCAAAGCAGCGGTCTGGAAACTTCAAGTATTGCATAGCTCAGTAGCACTATGAAGGAAATAGCTTAAGAAAGACTGGAAACAGATTCTCTAAGAACATTTCCTCCTGCTATGAGTAAATGATGGAATAGTTCAGTTGTTTTATACTCTGTCATTTGGCTGTCATCCAGATACTAGGTGGCCCTTAATAATAGCTAGAGCACAGCATGTTCCAGCCAGGTTCCCTATTCTCCTCACTCTCAAAAAAAACTTGCTTCCCAAAAATCCTAAAAGGAAAAGCAAAAAGTTGACTATTTCTGGCTCTTTTGCCCGTACCTACAGCAAAATATGCAAAATGGATAGCAGAGGGAGAAAAGGAAGACAATGACTGCTCCAACCAGCCTCAGGATAAAGAAGTGATGCTTTATCACTAGTAGATCAATATAATCAGTATCAGTTTTTGCTATATTTGGTGTTGTTTTGGGAAACTGGCCATCAGTTTCAATCCAGCATAATGACAGTCCATGTCCAGGTGAACAGACTTTTTTTTTTACAACACTGACAAGACAAACAGCTACCTCCTAAATAGCAAGGCTGTTCCAAAGTTGCCTCCCTCAGAGCATTCCAGGTAACTACACTATCTCATGGACAGGGTTCTTGCAAAGCTGTACTTTCAGGCAGTAGCAATTGAAAGGACAGTAAGAGATACACAAATGCCTGAGGTGGAAGAGTTAGAAAACAGTGGGCAAGAGAAGAGGGTAGTAAAATACTATTTTGCACCTCTGTATTCTGAAGTGTTCATAGGAGTTCTATGGTCCAACAAGAAAGCATCCCACTATCTAGGTGTATTTCACTTTGTGGGGCCCATCTGAGGTGGATATATTACAACTTCTGGCACCTTACAGGAAAACTCCTAAACCCTCCCAAGTTCAGAAAATAACTTTCAAGGTGATCTTTGAAAGGTGCTCTAGCACCACAGAGAAATTCATATCAGATGTATACAAGACAAAAAGAGAATAATTAGTCTTCTGCCTTAATAGAGGCAGAGGGGAGCACACTACACGGAGATAAGGGGAGATGCATGGAAACCACAAAAACTATGCACTAGAAGACACCCATTTCAGTGAGATCTTGGGCTGAGATTTGAGAATTTTTCTAATTTGCAGATGAGTCTGGCAGCAACACTTAACATCTAGAGCAGTACATAAGTGTTAACCTATGAAAAACCTTAAGATGGTTTAAGTTCTT